AGCGTTTAAATCCAGGTCCAACTTTGAAGCTCTTTGTAGTGTATAGGTTACTTACGTTGGCCTAAGAGTTTAAAAAAACAAAAAACAAAAAAAAAAAAACACAACAAACTATATTAGGATTAACTCCACGAATTTCTGGTGACTTGCATTAACTTTCTTGGCTCTTGTTTTCTTTATCTGTAAGAGGAGAGGATTGAGCTGGATCTTTAAAATTAGTTCTGACTAAAAATTCTGTGATTCCTTGGCTTTTTATTGAATTCAAGCAGAAGAAAACATACAGAGCTTCTAGTTTTTGTGTGTGCAGCCAGTTTGGTTTGTAATGAATACTGTTAGTTTGATGATTTTTTTTCACTTGTTCATCCTGTGGAGGTGCAGAAAAGTAATCATGGGAGAACAGGTTAAAAGAGGGTACATTGTCCCAACGGAAGATTCACAAAAGAAAACAACTAAAAATACTTGAGCATGAAGGAGCATGGCAGGCATGGGCTGGAGATTGGGTGGGTGGGACCTTGTTATTGTCTGTAGACATTAATGTCATTTACCCATAAGTATTATTGTGTCTGATCGAGTGAGTTTATGTGTCTGTCTCCAGGCATTGGGGATTGTGTTAGATGGTATCACGATGACTCAGTTGCAGTTCTTTTAGGGCCTTGTAACATTTCCAGTTAAATGGTGGAGATGGTTATAGGAGGGATACAATGATATTGACATAAGAGAGCTAATGAGGTGACATGATATAAAAAAGAAGTGTCATTTTTACATTATTATAGTACTTTTATTCCATTTATGTAGTACCATTTTCTCTAAGTTTGCTGCACAAATAACATCGAGATAATAAGCCATTTTAAAATGTCAAAACACCAAAGAATGAGAAAGCTATGAGAAGTAAATACACAGAAAAGAAGCAGTAGATGCTTTAGATAGCTGATCAGCACAAAAGTTACTGATTCTTTGGCTAAATCCATTGCACTCACCATTAGTTCTGTAAATTAGTGGGAGCTTGACATGGAGGCCTTTTCCTTGAGCCAAATTAGTGCTCACCATTTTACATCCTGTGGTTCTGATTGAAGACCATGGGTTTTGGTGTCAAATGGACTTGCATTTAAATCCTGATCTTGCTACATACTAACCAGCTATTAACTTGGAACAGATGACCTAAACTTTCTCAGCCTCAGTTTCTTCATCAGTGAAGTGGTATATGACTACGTAATTACACTTCCCTCATTAGGATTGTTTTGAGGATTGAAGTGAATGAGTATTACACATAAAACATTCAGTTCAGTGCCTGACACATGGTAAGTGAAACATAAATAATAGCTCAGTATTTGTTAAAACAGTGATTCTGGGGGCACCTGGGTGGCTTCGTCAGTTAAGCATCTGCCTTCAGCTCAGTTCATGATCTCAGGGTCATGAGATGGAACCCTCCGTTAGGCTCCCTGCTCAGCAGGGAGTCTGATTCTCCCTCTCCCTCTGCCTCTCCCCTACTTGTGGTCTCTGTCTCTCTCTCTCTCTCTCTCTCTCTCTCAAATAAATAAGTAAGTAAGTAAATAAGAAAGAAAAAGAAAGAAAGAAAGAAAGAAAGACTTAAAAAAAAAAAAAACCCACCCACACAGTGATTCTGATTAGGTGATAGAGCATAACAACACATTCTCTGATTTAGAAGGTAAGGCAGTGTGGAGTTGTCAGATTCTCCTTTGAATTGAAACAGTATAATCTGTACCTTATAGACTAGCATTAGACTTTTATATGAAACAGAGACTATACCTAATAATTTTAAGTTATATACCCACTGCCACCTTTAAGAAATGAAAAGATATAATTGAAGATCTCTGTTCTCCCTGCCTTTTCCCCCCAGTATAACCATTGTCCACAATTTGGTGTATCATTTCCACACATGTCATTATATTATAATTAAAGTATTATACTATATATATATATCCTTCCATAGCTTTTCTCACTCAACATTGCATTTAAGATGTTTCTGTTGTATATGTAGCATTCATTAATATTAACTGCTATAGAACATTCCCTTACATGAATGAATTTTAATTTATTTTAATCTATCTTGTCAATGGACAATATTCCTGTGTACCTGTTACCTTCATATCCTCCTCTTCAACCTAAGAGGCAATCACTATCCTGAATTATGTTAATTGTTTTTTAATGGTTTAAACATACATATTCCTAAGTAGTATATTGAGTTTTGCCTCTTTTTAGGGTTTATGTAAATACAATCTTACTATGTTTTTTAGTGACTTTTTTCAGTGTTACTATTTTGAGATTCATTCATAGCAATTTCACAGTTTATATTATTCCATTATATGAATATAGTGCGATTTATGGACCTTGAGGTTGTTTCTGACTCTTTATTTTTATTTTTACTTTTTAAGAAGATTTTATTTATTTATTTATTTGACAGAGAGAGAGAGAGAGAGAGAGAGAGCGAGCGCGTGCACAAGTAGGCAGAGAGGCAGGCAGAGAGAGGGGGGAAGCAGGCTCTCCGCTGAGCAGAGAGCCTGATGGGGGCTCGATCCCAGGATCCTGAGATCATGACCTGATCAGAAGGCAGAGGCTTAACCCACTGAGCCACCCAGAAGCCCCTGTTTCTGACTTTTTACTATTGCAAACAATGTATAATTAACATTTTTGTCATGTGTGTTGAGATTCAGCCATATAACTATGTGAAATGACTGAGGTATAGATAATGTTACTTGCATCTTCATCTTTACTGGATATTGATAAGTAGTAATTCATTATCATTTATTTTCTAATTTCTGATTTGACCCATGAACTTAAATTTTTAAAATTTAAAAATTTTTTTAAGTTTCCAAAATTATATAGAATTTTTTGTTATCAATATTTAATTTACTTGCTCTGTGGTTAGCTAATACTGTTTTTCTCTTACTAATTCTTTGGCATCTGTTAAGACTTTTGCTTTTTTGTCCAGCTTTTTGTCAGTTTTTATAAATATTCCTCATGTTTGAAAATAATTTACTAACTTACTATTGGGTATATGAGTGTAAACATAGTAATCTTCTCTAACTTTACTAATTATTTTGGCTGAGACAGGTATAGTAAAATCTTCCCATTATGATAATAAATTTGTCAGTTTCCCATAAATCTTTTTTGCTTTATATATTTTGAGGCGTTGTTATTAGGTACATACAAGTTTAAAATTGTTTTATCCTCCTGGTAAAGTCTTTGTTTTCAGATAGGGGTGTGTGTGTGTGTGTGTGTGTGTGTGTGTGTGTGTGTGTGTGTGAGATTTTTTTTTTCTTCCTTACTATCATATAATGATTCTCTTTTTTTCCTCGAATAGTGACTTTTGCCTCAGTCTCCATCTCCTCACGCTACTGTAGCTGTTACTGGCTTTTTTTTTTTTTTTTTAAGATTTATTTATTTATTTGAGAGGGAGGGATAGATATATGGGGGGCAGGGGCAGAGGGAGAGAAGGATTCTCAAGCAGCCTCCCTGCTGAGCATGGAGCCTCAAGTGGGGCTCAGTCCCACAATCCTGAGATTGTAACTTGAGCTGAAATCAAGAGTCAAACACTTAACTGACTCAGCCAACCACATGCCTCACTGTTACTGGCTTTTTAATCATGCATCTTTGCTGGTACTTTTTAAAAATATACTTTAAAATTTTCTTTATCGTAATGTTCATGTTTTTAGTATGTTGCTTGTAAACTTATAAAATAGGACCTAGTTTATTCAATTTGAACATTCTCTTTTAATTACTAAGTTTAGTCAGTTTACAATTATTACCATTACTAACATATTTGTACTTATTTCTACAGTCTTATTATATGTTTTCCATTTATCCTGCTTTTTTCTGTGCTCTTTTTTTCTTTTCTCTGTTGGTTTGAATAACTTCTTTATTCTTTTTTCCTTCTGCTGACTACCCCTAACATTTTACTTGTATTTGGCTTTGTAAAATCTTATGTTAAACTGGTATATCTAAACATAGTGATTCCAAGGGACACATGCACCCCAATCTTCATCAGCAGCAGGGTCCACAATATCCAAAATATGGAAAGGCCCAGATGTCCATTGACAGATGAATGGATAAAGAAGATGTGGTATATATATATACAATGGAATATTACTCAGCCATCCAAAAGAATGAAATCTTGCCATTTGCGAAAACATGGATAGAACTAGAGGGTATTATGCTAAGTGAAATAAGTTAGTCAGAGAAAGGCAAATATATGATTTCACTCGTATGTGTAATTTAAGAAGCAAAACAGATGAACATGGAGAATGGAAGGAAAAATAAGATGAAAACATAGAGGGAGACAAACCATAAGAGACTTTTTTTTAAAGATTTTATTTATTTATTTGAGAGAGAATGAGTGAGAGAGAGCATGAGAGAGGAGAAGGTCAGAGGGAGAAGTAGACTCCCAAGGAGCTGGGAGACCGATGCGGGACTTGATCCTGGAATTCCGGGATCATGACCTGAGCCGAAGGCAGTCGCTCAACCAACTGAGCCACCCAAGCACCCCACCATAAGAGACTCTTAACTCTAGGAAACAAACGGGATTGCTAAGGGGGGTAGGTCAGTGGGGGGAATGGGCTAACGGTGATGGGCATTAAGGAAGGCACTTGATGAATTAAAAAAAAAAAAAAAAAAAAAAAAAAAAGGAAGGCACTTGATGTAATGAGCACTGGGTGCAACTGATGACTTACTAAATTTTACCTCCGAAACTAATAATATACTATATGTTAATTAAACTGAATTTAAATAAAAAGTTGGTATGCCTGCCATATTTCTGAACAATACAGGGACCATGGAAAGCTTTAATTCCAATTACCCTCCACCAATGGAAAGTATGTATGGTATATGTTTTTAACCAGTATTTTACTTCCTTTTTTCATTCAGAGTAGTCTTTATTATTGCTCCTATTACATTGAATTTTTATTTTTGTATTTTTTTGTTTTCTAATTCCCAAGGAAATTATGAATGCCTTCATTAAACTGGTTACTATCACTCTTTCTCTTCAGATTTTCAAAAGAAACAACCAGACGATGATTCCGCTCCAAGTACAAGTAACAGCCAATCAGATTTGTTTTCCGAAGAGACCACCAGTGACAACAACAATACCTCTATAACCACGCCAACTCTTAGTCCCAGCCAGCAGCCGCTTCCGACAGAATTGAATGTAACTTCACCAAGTAAAGAGGAGTGTAAGTGCCCACATCTTTGCAGTGTTAGACAAAGCAGCCCAAGAATCGTATCATGAGCTTCTTAGTAATGCTTTGTCTCAGAAAAAAAGATAGCCGTTCTTCTAAATGAAGATTAAGTGTTGATGTTTAGGCCCAAGTCAGCCAGTTAGGGAATAAATTTTAGCTATTTTATAGAGCTTTAGGTCCTTTTAAAAGATAGCTTTTTTTGTTAACTGTCAAGGTATGAGGTTTTGAACCAGTCTAGGGCAGTGGTTCTCAGTCCTGGCTGCAAAATAGAAGATTTTTTTTAAGAAAACAATTACAGTCTTTGGCACCATTTTCTCAGTCTAATTTTATTGACCTAGAGGGAGGCCCAGGGATTTTTCTTTATAACTCTGTACAGGATCCTAATCTACGCTAATTGATGAGATCCACTGGTCTAGAGAACTTACTCCTAATTTAGGAACCTTGGATTGAAACCTTACTTCTGTCGCTCTTTTGGGCCTTGTATATTTTTAGGCAATTAATGGAGATAATAACACTGTGTACTTCATAGAACATTGGGTATTTGAAGAGAGGAGAAAATCGTTTCTCTTATTTTTCTGTAGGTTCTCAGTTATAGAGTGTTACTGTTATATATGTGATATGGAAGTCCATTGTCTACTTAACTTTTTTGCTGGTGTAACCAACTTCTTTAGTGCACAACTATAACTAACAGTGTCTCTTGAAAATTTTAGGCACATTTTGACATACCAGTTTTTGCCTTTTAAAAAGCTTTAAATTAACAAGTTGAAATTTAATGTTTCAGATTTTATGAACATCTAGAAATCCTTGGAATATGGTAGGTTGGAATGTTCTGCCTACTAACTTTGGATTGATTAGCAGAGGACAAATTATTTATCATAAATTTGTGCACTGGGTGACACTGAAGAAGGCCAAAGTCCGTGTCCTCAAAGAATTTACTCGTTATCCGGGGACATTAAATATATTTGTCATAGTATGTCAGTGGTTCTCAACCAGGAGTGATTTTTGTCCCCCATCCCCATCCTCCTAAGCATCCTACACTGCATAGGATAGCCCTCCACAACAAGGAATTATCCAGCCTAACATGTCAGTAGTGCCAAGGTTGAGAAACCCTGATACATGGTAATATGAGCCCATTTTAATGATTCTTAAATAATAAAGACTCTGAGTGTTGAAGAAGGGTGTTGGTTTACTGGAGAAAATTGTGCTGAAGACAGATACAAGGTGGTGAAAAGACATTTTAGAAGACAGAGTAGAATGAGCTTTAAAGGAGAGCTACATGGAGTTCTGCAGTGGCAAATGACCCCTTTGGGGCCTTTTATAGAGGACAAGGCTGGAAAGGCAGATGATAATCAAGTCAGAGAGGTTTAATTGCTCAGCTAAGATATTTAGGTGTTAGACAATAGTCATGTTTTTGAACAAAGAAAGTAATATTATTACAGTTGGCAGTAATGAAAATGGGAAGGATGATACTAGAATAACATTGTAGAGGAAGGATTTTTAAAATACTGTAACCTATTGAACAGAGGCTTAGAAGAAGGTATAGAAATCCTTTAAGAGGAGGGAAGAAGAAAAGATTAAAATGGTAGTAATATGGGGCACCTGGGTGGCTCAGTCATTAAGTGTCTGCCTTCAGCTCAGGTCATGATCCCAGAGTCCTGGGATCAAGGCCTGCATAGGTCTGCCTGCTCAGCAGGAAGCCTGCTTATCCCTTTCCCACTCCCCCTGCTTGTGTTCCCTCTCTTGCTTTCTCTCTCTCTGTCAAATAAATAAGTAAATAAGTCTTAACCAAAAAGAAAATGATAGTGATAATGTTGGGGTAATAGGTTTTGTTTTGTTTTAAAACATGTATTTGGGATCATGTACTTATTGAGAAACAGATAAAAGATATGGTCCCTTGTCTCAGAAAAACACACACCATCCATTTATACCCAGTTTTGAATAAAATGTTTTTAAGTTCACTATGGCCTTTAGGTGAAGGACTCCTTGTTTAAGGGAAAGTTTGGAGCTGGTCAGGACCTCATCTGATTGGATTCGTGTATACCAGCTTCAGTCCACAACAAACCAACCTGAATAGCCTAGCTGTGTGTGAGACTGAGATAACAATAGCTATCATTTATTGAGCATGGTGTTTGTAAGACATTGTTCTGTATGTTTTGGACATTTTCTCTTAGATGTCTCAAGATAACCCAGTGCAGTAGATATTATCATTTATCCCCATTTTAGAACTCAGGAAACAGGCACAAAGAGATCAAGTAATTTGTCTGTGGTCACAAACAACTGGGTACCAGAACCAGGATTTAAATTCAGCATTTGACTTCAGAAACTCTGCTTTTAATCTGTTAATTCACCATGGGAAATTTAATCGCCGCAGAGAATAGAGATTTTCACGTTGCCAAAATCAACACTTCCTCTCTGTAATTAAGGTTTGTGGACACTCAAATCATAACCAGAAGTTAATTTTATTAATTCATCATGAAAAATCCTGTAACAGGGATTGGAAATAAAAGTTTATACGTAGGACTATAACGTTTTTCTGGAGACAGACCTTTCTGGGAAGCTAACCCATACAAGGATTTATATAGCAAATGGTAAAGTGTGGACTCACCAAGTGAAATTAAAATGAAGTGAATTTTTAATTGAGTAAGGCTGATTATGAGGTGTACTCTAAGTCCATATAACGAAGGTCTTGCGTTCAATGCAAGATTCCATCTTCATGCCCTTTTCTCCCTCCTCTGCCTGTTCTTAGACCTGCTTTGAGCTTTGGAGCCCCTGGGACACAATACTTCCTGTATTTCCGTAACTTGCCAGTCTAGGCCATTGTACACTGCCATGTTTTTTCTCTTGATAAATAAATACCTTCAGTCTGAGTAAGGATGTCTCCTAGTTCTAGTAGCTTCAGATCTATTCTCTCTGATGACATCACTGCTTTAAACCGTTGTGTGTTTATCTTAAGTTAAATTTACTGAAACTAATCTTATTTCCAAATGCTTATAAGGCTCATTGTAATCCTCAGGTTTTCATAGATCTGAGGAATTTAGATTTGCTAATCTGAGATATGATGATGACTTTCATGTTTAAGTGGGCGGGTTGAGTTGGAGTCTAGAAGAGGGAAGTCAGAGTTAGCTTCATACAGTTGGGAGATGATCATTGAAACCTTACTGGTTAAATGAGATTGGTAAGGATGAAAGCAAGAAAAAGCAGAACAGAACCTTGAGAATGAAATCAAAAAAGAGGAGGCAACTGAAGAAGTTGAAGAGGAGAATGATAGTGGGCAAGTTCACAGAGGCCAAGGAACAAATTGCAGCTTATGGTGTGCTTTTTCATAGTAATAATGAAGATGTAAGCTCACATTTATGAAGTGTTTGCTGTTTTCTTAGCACTTTCCTAATCTCTCTACATGTACTGACATTTAATTTTTGCAGGGTCCTATAAGGTAGGTGCTTTTATTATCCTCTTTTATAGATGAGGAAGATAAAGGATAGACAGGTTCATGACTTAAGTCCAAAGTTCCAGAGCTTCTCCTTCTCAGTATAGTTCATGTTCAGCCCACTAATTTCACTACAAAGTCTGTGCTTGCAACCACTATAGAATATTACCTCATCGTTAAAATGCTGCTGCTGTCAAAAGATGAGAGATTTGGATTTGATGATCATGAGACTGATTACCTAAATGTAAGCTATTTAATAATCTATTGCAGATTTTTTTTGTATGTTCATTTAGAGTCTTTGCTGAGAGCCTCCTAGTTAGGGAATAGTTTAAGCTCTGGGTACAGAAATGAGTAAGATTAAGTCTCTAGCCCCAAGGAGGTCACCTTTTCAAATATATATGCCTCTCCCTGAAATTCTGGCTTTTTCTCTGACATGGGTACGGAAGAATTTGGGGGTATAATGGAGGAGGCAGCAGGAGCAGTGGTCAGTTAGCATGTCATTTGCAAAAGCTTTCTCACTGAGGTTGAAACTAATGTGTGCCTGATTTGTGGGTAGGGTATATAGGGACGAGGTACATCAGCTGTGATGTATCTCGTAGAAGCAGCGTGGAGGAAGTGGAGGCAGGAGATTACTTACACAGATCTTTAGTGTCCTTGGGACTGGAATTTCATCCGTTGGTCCTTCATAGCTTTCCTTATATAGTGGTATGGAGATGTAGGAAATGGGTTTTGGGATTGCAAATCCAAGTACCACATAATTTGTTAACTATACAGTAATTATGAATCTGTTGTTATTGTGTAGGACTGGAGTGCTGTGAATTCTTTAGGACTTGTGAAAAGGTTTTACATTTTCTGTAATAAGAGAATGAGTATTGTTTATATCTGGTCTTTGCTTCTCACTGTCAAATCAATATACCAAAAGAAAAGTGGTGACATTAATGCAGTTTAGAAAAGATTGCAGGTAGAGTTCATAACTACGACAAGAGTGTATAAAGCAAAGAAACAGTACAGATTTTTATTCAAAAGCTTTTTTTTTTAAGATTTTATTTATTTGACAGATAGAGATCACATGTAGGCAGAGAGGCAGGCAGAGAGAGAGAGGAGGAAGCAAGCTCCCTGCTGAGCAGAGAGCCTTATGTGGGGCTCGATCCCAGGACCCTGGGACCATGACCTGAGCTGAAGGCAGAGGCTTTAACCCACTGAGCCACCCAGGCGCCCCTCAAAAGCATTTCTTAAAACACCTGATTGAAGGGCAAATAAAATAGATACCAAAAGCTCCAAATAACATATTTTTTGTCCACCTCCCCCCACACATACTTCTTCCTTTCCATTGTGTATGTGTACAGAAAGTCTGTGGAAGTTTAGTCATTAGAAACTAAAAAAAGAAAAAAAAGTCAGTGTAAACAAAACTCAAATAGTGGTCAAAGGACTTGTCATAGCATTTAAATGCTTTAATAAGGGTAACCAGTTAGCACTAGAGTACTCATCAAGTACCAGGCACTATTCGAAATGCTTTATCTGTATTAACCTACTTTATTGTCACAATTACCCTTGTATGGTGGGGACT